TATTTCCGCTATTAATGATTAATAGCGGAGATAGAAGAAATTATCGTATGATGTACTAATAGTGGAAATTGTATTACATAATTTGTACTATCGGCTCACAAGCTTTTCAAGCCAAAATCGAGCCAACCCCAAATTCCGACGAGCCTAATTGAGCCGGCTCGATTCGGAACAATATACATATACACTGTATATAATTTTTAAAACCATTTTATTAAATATTTTTTTATCAATTTAATCTTATTAAATTTTAAAATTAAAATATTAAAATAATTATCAACAACAAAAACTATAAAAACAAATCTTTATATAAGACTAAACCAATTATTTATATTATAATATATACAAGTTTTTGAATTTTGTATATAATTATACTAATTAAACATTTAATCTAAAAATCTTTATCAAGAACTTTTCTCAAAAATAACAAAAGATTTAAAACTTTATTATAAATAAATTTTTAAAAAGCTACTATATAGTTTCTTTGATATACTGTATGATAGTGATCGTACCTAAGGAGCTATAAATCTGGGTAACGGATTAATATTTAAGATATCCAATTAACTTATCCGGTTAACTTAAAAGATATATGAGCGACGTTAAGGAAATGGGACAATTGAAGTCTCATTTTCCGTTAGCGTCATTCATATGATATTTATATCAGATATATTGATCATGAAACAAGATAAAGCAGACGAGAATAATTTGCGAATAAAAAAAAAGCTACTAATTGCATTTACTTAATGCTAAATAAATATGAAGATTTCTTGCTTCACCAATAATCATTCCAACGATAGCCCATTTAATCGACATCATATATAAGGGTTTCACTTGAAATGTTTCTGACTAAATGAGCTGTTGGTGAAATAATTGTCGCCAGAGGGAAAGTGCGATTGAAATTCTCCTTATAAGGTCTGAGCAATGTTCCAAATTAGATTCTATATAACAATCGTTTTTCATAAATGTAGTCATATAAAATAATGCAAATGAAATGCTTTGTATATAGAAGGTTATATCTAATTTTTATAATTTAATAAAGTTCAGATGATCGTTATATAACAGCGCATTTTTTATAAGATTATATCTGGATATAACCGTTATCCTCTTCGAATAGGTATAAAACCGGTTATTAGATTTTATAACCTTTCGGGTAAAAAGTTAACCGGGTATGACCACTAGTTATAAATACTTTAACAAAATGCAAAAAAAAAAAAACTTAAAAAAACCTTTTTAGTTACGGCGTTTCTACTTAATTTGGGTTTGGGAATCGGTATTTTTACCTAGTTTGGGTGTGTCCCTTTTCGGTAAATAGTGCCAACCCCAAAAAAATCGATTAATGAATAAATATTTAAATAATAATCTTTAAATTATTCAACAAAATTGACTTTTAGTACGTAAGGTATATCCAAGTTTAAAGATCGATAATATAAAGATCGAATCAAATCAAGGCCATGGATGGATAGATTATCAGATAATTAAATATAGTTAAGCACAAAAATCTTGTTTGAGCGTTGCCAAGTAAGCCAAGTAATAAACAGCAGGTAGATCGTTAAAACTTATACTGGAGAAACTGATTGTCAGATGGTTTAATGGCAAGTGTGTTATATTTAATGTGCATCTGATTAGACAATCCATTTTTATGATTTCATTTTGGAATTTATATATATATAAGTTTAAATGAAGAAAAATGCAGCTGAAATATTGTGTGATCAATGAAACATAATTCTACAGTATAACATGATGATATGTGAAATTTCATCATTTTAAATATAACGGTAAAGTTATATCAAAAACGAAGTGTTGACTATAAAAGTATACAAATCAGGTTAGGAGAAAGGCGACTTATAGGAAATCGTGGTTTGACGTAAAAATTTAGTGTTCCTATTGGCTAAAGTCATCGGATGATTTTGGGTTTTAAACGATTCTTTGTTTGGGCCGTAATATAATTTATATTAGAGGTATTTTGCGGAACTAGTAAATACTATTTGGGATTCTACTAGATCCCGAACTAGTAAGTTCGGGTTGCAACCCTAGTTCATACCAGCAGAATAGAAAATTTCTAAAATCTTTCTAAACAACAAGAAATTTTTAATCTTAAACAAATGTACCCAATCTTTTTAAAAAAATATTTTACAAAAAGACAGCAACAACACAAAACTCATCTACACATACCCTTAAATACATAATCAAACACTATAAACATTATAACCAAGAAGTATAGATATTTTTTCAAAGTACTTTTATAATTACGATTGTAAATTTTTCTTTCTTCTTTGCTAAAGTGAGAGGCATAGGTTCTTGGGCATGCCTTTAAGCTAAAAGGCATGCTCTTTATTTGATATTTAAAAATAATATTGTATATTAGTGCTGTCAAAAGAAAACCTGTCATCGGACTTTCAATTGTATTTTGTGTACAGTTAACCATCTACGGAAAATCAATCATAATAGACGGCAAACTGTACACAAAATATAATTGAAAGTCCGATGACAGGTTTTCTTTTGACAGCACTCATATATACATATTTATAGGAGCACACTGAACATGGAGAAGCATGCCCCTAGCCAAGGCATTTAGAGTGTGTGGCACGGCTAAAAAATTTGGCATCATATCACCCATATTTTGTTTAATAGAAAATCAATAATAAAGTTAACAAGAAGATCCTAACTTTTGACACGCGGATACGTATCATCAAAATTACATTTATGGTAATAATAAAAAACCTAACTTTTCGTACGTATCACTTTGACGATACATTAATGTTTCCATTATGCTCCGTACAATCATTTAACTTTTATCAAAAAAAATGGCAATAAAATTTTTTTGAAAAGCTTTCAAACAATTATCTAGAACTTCTTGATGATGAGGAAGATTTTAATGTAATAATTAATGTTGGCCAAATACCAAAATATTTCGGGCACATTCAGCAGTTTTAAGATATAGGTCATTGTATTTTCGTAATGACTTAGCAAAAATTAACAGAAATAGTAATAACATTAAAACGATTAATCTAAAATATGTTACTATTCAGCAATTTGAAGTAACTATATTTATAACCTTTACTTAGGGCAGTATTATTTATCACCTGATTTTTTTATCAAAGGCATACCTCCTCTCCTCTTTTTTTCATAATTATTTTTTAAATGTTCAAAAGTATTAATATAATTGTAAAATTAATGGTATATCTGTGGTGGAGTAATTTCATTAGAAAATCTTGAAGCTTCATTTATTTTTAACCTCATGGTTATTACTTTTGAGTTTTCTTCGAAGAACTGACCAAGCATTTTGAAATATATCTGATTGAAACAAAGGCTTCGTGGCTTCGATTACATAATATTTAGTAAAGTATCCTGATAAGTTTTTGAATCTGAGGATTTTATATAAATTCAAGAAAAATGCATTAATCTCAATTATTAAACGAGAGATTTACAAATGGAAAAAGTAAAAATTTGGAATTATATCATAAAATGAGGAATTGCACTAAATCAGCAAGAATTATTATCATATCCATACTTTACTTGAAGCTATTATCATAATTTCTGAGACACCTGATAAAAATTGGCCAGAAGATTTTTTGCTGATTCAATTAAGTTTATGATTTCGGCATTATAGATTCAATAAATTGATATATCATTGTAAATCTAACTTAAACACAGAAATATGGTTCTTTCAAAACATCTCCACTGGGTTAGTTAGAAATTTTGCTAAATACACATCAAGTACTTTTAACGATATGGATGTATTGAAAAACTTTATCACTTTAGAACGACGTATATTATTTTCGGGACATTAATCACCTGGGATTGTTTTTTAATTAACCTGGGTGACCCATCAGGCGACCCGGGTGGTATATTGTCCACCCGACGGGTGACCCGGGTGAGGATTTTTTTAGACGGGTCTTCATTAGTTCAGATAAGACTAAAATTTATAATCAATATTTTGTATATAAATTTTCAGAAAATAAAGTTATAAGAATCATAAATCAGCATTAATAATAGATACATAAATTATTTCAAATATTTCGATTAATAAATAATAATGACTGAATCGACTTAACTTATTTTATCTTAAATTATTTTATACTTTCCGGTTAGGTTAAATAAATGACTTAATGAGAAATGGCAGATAATTTACAATCTTATCAATATAGAATAGTTTAAGGAGCAGCAAAATTTTCTTGTCATATTTTAGACTATACTTACAGACTAATTTAATATAAATATAAAGAAATGGCTTATTTTAAATACATCCACTATTATAATAAATCGCCACTAAATCAATGAAATAAGAAATCAAATTAAAAGTAATTATTTTTCGCAACGGCGGGAATAAGAGGTAAATTTCCGGTTATAAGAGGGTCCGAAGGGCCTCATATAGCCGGAGATCTACCGGCTTATTTCCCTGCAGTGGATAATGTGGAAAATAAGAGTGCTATTCTTCATTTTGTATGTCATGATGGTGGTAGTGATTTGATCATACAAATTATGTATCTTCTTACATTGATAACGAGATCAGTATTTTATAGATCTTATTGCACGGTGTCTGACGTGCCAATAAGTAAATGAAAAAAGCACCTCCTCTTTGACCTCTTTACATTCCTCAATAGCCTTATCAAGACCACCTTTATTCAAACTTAAAACAATTCCAAACTTTTTTGCTTGGGTTCGAAAATTTTCAGAAAAACAGTATTAGTCACCAGGATTCCTTGACGATCTTTATAATATACGACGATATTTGAACTCAAACGTTCGGGATCATTAAATCCGGTTGTTTTTTTTTTTGAGGAACGGGGTTTATATCTTTTCGATTGGCCAATATATCATTTTCCCGGTCCGAGGAGAAGACATAATACAGAAACAAAAACCTTGCTACCCAAATCCAATTTTTTTATTTTAGATAACATTCCCCCACCATCCATCATTTTTGCCTTTCATGCTCTACAAATTCATTTTCAACATTTAAAAGTTTATACACCATCAATCGACATGCTATATCAATCACATACTCTATTTGAGATTTACTACATTCAAACACACATTTCAATAATTTCTTTCTGAACCTCTTCATAGCTTGATCCGAAAATTTTAATGCCCTTGCCAAATAAAACATGAACATGCTGTCAAAATAATAACAACAGTTATCATACATCTTATAATCTAAACATTCATAAACAAAATTCTCGGTGCTCACAACCTCTTCATCTCTCCCAAGTCGATAGGCTAACCGCAAAACATTAGTACATATAGCAAGTTCTATACAATTTTCATGCATGGGGCGTTGTTAAAATATACTTGTATAATGTCTTGAACAGATCCATCGATAAATTTTCTTTTCATTGTATTTTTAACAATTTCATCAAGCGATTTCTCCATATGATCTCTAAACTTCTCATCGATTAACAATAATGCTAACACAAACTCGGCAGTATCTTATCAATGAAATAATTATAATGATATAAATGTTTACGATAATTTTTTTGAATATCTGATAACTTTCAGATTTATAACCCATTATATATAAAAAATTATTGATCATTGATGATGTATGAATCTCTCTTACTGGAATTATTTTGGAACTATTCATTGTCCAAAACCTATAAAAGTCTGAATTCCACTTTTCTCATCGACATACTTTTCGATTATTTTATTGATAATATCTTTCACTTGGTTTAGTTTTTAAAAGAATTTTTGTTGCACCCATTAGAAAAAAAATCAAATATTTGCTTAAAAAAATAAGCTAGCCATGCTCACAATTATGAGTAAATGGAATTTAGAGCTTGTTATGAACGGTTGGGATGAGGCGCAGTGCATGATCATGATACCAGGAATGAACGCACTTCTTTTTAAGAAAAAAAATTGTTTAAATTTGATTTGGATACCAAACAAAAAACAAAAATTAACACAGATACGATCTTTGTGATCTTGAATCAGAAGATATATGGAGTGAATAATGAAGAAGTTGTGTACATGTTTTATGAAAATTGAAGCTATCGAGTGGAAAGCAAATATTTCAAGAAAATAACGTGATATTATTTTCTCATAATAATTATCACAGGTCAGTAATAGAAAGGAAACAAAAACTGTAGCACCAAGCGAAGTTTATTTGCTTTTCGGATTTAACCTAATAAATAAATAAATAAATAAAAGTAAATACATGTTGGATCAATCAAATGTCTACACGGGCGACTACACAAGTAATTAGCAGTTGGAATTTACGTCATCAACCTGGGACCCCCAGTGTCTAGATCACCACCTGTTTGTGTCTCACTCAACCGCAGCGTAACTTACACACCAATTGTCAAAGGGTCATTGCAAATATTTACTGGACGAGCAAATATTACTAGCAACACGTATTTAGCAAGAAATTCTTACCATTTACCCTGGATCAAAAAAAAATAAAAAGTTTATATTGATCTTGAAGATCAATATTTCTATCGGATATACGAGGTATATTTTTTTTATTAATATAAACGAATGTTTTATGAATGAATGAAATAATTCCATTTTTTTCAAGAAATTGGTAAATGAAATATCAAGTAACTCTCCTTTTCTTTCATTAATGATTTTATCATTCGTTGAGTTCAAAAACCCAATAAAGAAGTAACAATCTCATATTTGGATTCGATGGGAAGATGTTTTTCGATAAAACTCTTGAGAGATAATTCAAGGCCATGAAGAATAAGGACATTTTTAAGAAAAAAAGTCCAATAACTTAAGCTGTTTATATAAATTTTTATTTATTATTTTTTTTTTTAAAGAAAGAAAAATCAATCAATATTTGTCGTATTTATAAACAAACAATTGATGAATAAGGAAATGCGGAATACTCTCCTGATTACGCAGGGAGTTTTTCTAATAAATACACTAGGAAAATGCATAGCATTATGAGTCCAGAGCGTATCATATAATAGTCATCTCATTGCACAAACGCGTGAATGTGCATATTTTTGCTATACTAAAATTACAAATTTGAACACGCGTGCGGACAGACATGAATTTTCAAAATTATGTTTTTGATGCAATAGCTTAAATGACAATAAAAGGTGAATCAAAAATGTAGCTATTGATGCATCAAAAACGTAACTTTGTATCATATTAAAAGTCCTCTGCTAGTAACGGCCTATTAAAATCAAACATAGGCAGGGTGCGGATTTTTTGTGGGTATCGATGCACATATATCAATCTTATTTACATTTATTGAACGTCGGGATTTTAACTATCGGTAAATCCAAAATTCCATTAGAAAATCCGCAATTAGTGATGATCATTATTAACCCCGATTTTAATAGGCCGTTACACACCCTAATGTAATGTCAATCATGTTCTAAATATGGTTAATTTTGTACGTCTCTTATAATATAGATGTAATAGGCACGATGAAGGCACGATGAAAGTACGATGAAGGTGCGTTGAAAGTACATTTTTTTTATCATGTTTTTGTTAATCAAATTAATCTTTTAGCAACTGAATGTCATTTCATCGCCTTTACCACCGATGGTCATTATTGTTAAATAAAAAGATCAACTAATTAATCCTATTTTGTATTTATATGTTTTGTAGGAATACCTGCGGTCCAAGAATCGAATTCAGAATTTTTTTGATTCGTAAGGTTGTTCCATTAACATAAATATTTCGAATTATTGACCGATCCTGTAAAGGAAAGAAAATCATTAATATGTAATTGCGGCAACGGTTATAAAGCTTAACGGATTCTCTGTGTATCTTTATTAACCCCACGACTATCTCGGCAACAATTTTTAATGAAAATTGAAATAGCCTTTAATTGTATTAGCACGTTATTACTCCACTACACATAATATGTAAATTATATTTTATTATTTGTTAAAATAATTTTATATATATTGTGAATAATCATCCGGTGAGTCAATTGTCGGGATTATATTATTTCGTTCTGGCGTTTTTGGTGTTACTGGTGATTTGTCTGCTATTAATTGATTTATTGACCTAATATTTTCGGAGACCAAGTTATTTGCGAATAGTATCGATTCACAGATTACACACTTGCTCGATTATCAAATTGCCGTTGTTGTTAAGTAATGGTATTTCTGTTGATTTAATCAAGATCATTCTGTGGAATGGTTTCATCTCACAGTCTAGAACGTAAATATCCATCGTCGTTTTATGGAAATGAATCATTATATGATTAAATTGATCCCAAATGTCTTTAGCTTCGGGTATATCATAACTTGTTATATATTTCAATCCATGATTCCAATCGTCCTTAGAAAATTTGGCTAGTCATGTCATGTCTTCAAAATAATGATCCTCCTCAAACGAATATGGGGCATAACTGACTTCCGAAAATCCAAACTCCCACTTGTGATTGGATCCTTCATATTTTTTTGAGATCATTACATCAGGAAGTCGACTTGGTCCTGAATGACCCCAATTCCTATTTTTAGTCGACTCACTTTGTCCTTTCAATAAAATAGATATAAGTAAATTTTTTCATAAATAATTATAATTAAAAAGAACATAATAATTACCATCAAATTCTATGTTGATATCTTCTATATTATAGAACATAAAATCAAAGATACACTTGACGACTTGATGTGTGTATGTTCTTTCATTAAGATTAGGAGATTTTTGTTGATATAACGGCATTTTCCAAACCAATCCCAATTGTGTTAAAAAAGAACCTAGTGCGTTGTAAAATTTCTTATCATCATTCCGAAGATTTTGCATGGTTGCATATCTGTGCTTAATACGTAAATCGATAAATTTCTTCTGGTAATTATCTAATTTAACTTTAAATATATCAGAATCATACGAATATAGTTCATTAATACAATTATAATTATTAATGACGTTAAAGATTGGTTTGTAATATTTTTTTAATAAAACCCCATTAACAATGCCATCTGAGAGTAAATCTTCAGGAACAAGATTTGCGTTTTCTATGTTATCACAAATTAACCTTGAAGAAGTTGACATTTTAGGAAAGTATGTAGTGAGCTAACAAAAATAAAAAGGAGATACATCAGTTATGGATTAGCAATTGTCTGAAATATTACATCAACGACCATTTCGTAATATTATAGTTAATTTGAGCATAATATGTTTACCTTAGTAAATCTTTCTTTTATTTCAATACTGTTGAATTCTACAATTGACAAATCTTCAACCGATTCCGTAACATCACTATCATCATCAATCTCACTATCAACACCAATCTCAACACCATCATCGTAGACATTTTGATCTTCAATATCAACAGCATTATAATGATCATCATTTTCATTATCATTGTTCGTATCTTCTTCAATCTCTATCTGACATAAGAACTCAACATTTTTTTCTTTTGCACATTCTTGAATATATATCCAATATTTAGCGTAAGAATTTTTTAAAGTTCCAATATATGAGTAAAATGCTTTTGACATATTAAGAAATTCCACATTCTAAAAGTATGCAAATACATAAAAAATATTATTAGTTCATATTGTCTTATACCGTAAATGACTATTATTTTAAAAAATCTCAGAAGAAAAAAACTTTTTTTGGTTTATAACATTATATTGATGCAAAGCCTCAACAAGGGTGGCCAATATAATACCAGAGAAGTAAATTTCTTTTTACATTAATATATTACCAAAGCTTCGACAAAGGTGATAGATATACTTAATATATATGCTAGTCAGATATTTTATAAAAAATTTGATGCTACCCAGAAGAATCTGATAATGATGGTACTCTAATGCCTAACCAGAGTACTTCTAGTTCTTGCAAAACTGTGAGAGCCAAGTATACAGTGAGTGACAATGTAGAAGACATTCATAAGGTCCACATTACAATACTCTCTATATCTTATGATTTACTTATTTGCTTCAATTGATTCCTCTTATCTATAAACTCTTCTCCAATTCAAGCTCTTCAAACACTCAACTCTTTTTTTTTACATCTATTTAAAATTGGTTTGTAGAACAAATTCTATGAACGAATTGTTATATTTGTCAAAACTGACTACAGTGAAGCTTATATTTATTCATCAGAAGAGCCTTGCCCTCTACCAGATTGTGTTATCATACTTTATTTTGATACTATTTATCTTAATTCTTTTATTCCTCTCAAATCTTATTTATAACTCTTATGATAACAACTCTCTCACATCTCTTAATCTTTCATTATATACATATAACATTTGAGGTTTTAACAAAAATCTTAAATAGCAAGTTTGGAAAGATTATTGCCTCTCTGATAATCTTGACATTATCTGCTTAACTGAAACCAAACTAGCTAGCAACAAACTTACTTTAAAGCCTCTTAAAACATCACACTATACCTACTTCCAATCCTGCACTAATAGCTGAAAGCTAGAATCTCCATTATAATTCGTAATTTTCTAACTCCCCATATATATAATACTAAATCTATTCCAGGCTATGCTATCTCAATTAATCTCTTCTTCAAATATGATTTCAAATTCTACATTATCTCAACATATCTTCCTTGTGACAATAGTTTTATTAAACTTGAAACCCAGAATACAATTATTCAACAGATAAAAGATGTATATTTCTTTAATATACTCTTTATAATACTTGAAGACTTTAATGCCTTTACCAACAATATCCACTTCTCTTCTATTAAATATAAACTTCTTTAATTTCTTACATATAATAATATATACAATCTTACTTTTTCATTTGCTCCTACATAGTATAATTCTAGATCTAGCAGTGAAATTGACTTCATCTGAGCCTGTCATACTATTTTAACTTACCTTATCTCTTTTAATATTGATAATACAGATACTAACTCATTAAGTAATCACAAAATTCTTACTTCTCGCTGGTCTTTTCCATATACTCTGCATGCCAATACAGATATAAAACATGTACACGTAGAAGAATTTTTAACTACAAGGCTATGAATGATACAAAATAGGAAGAATTCTCAAACCAAGTTAGCACTAATCTTGATTCTAACTATACATCTTCCTTAACTCACACTTTAGAATTCCTTAAAACTACTTGGTACAAAATTTATACTAGTATAATTACAGCTGCTCTTAAATATATTTTCAACAAAAAATTTTCTATTCATAATTTTCAACATACATTCTCTTTTAAAGTTACTCATCTTCACTCAAATTTTAAGAAACTTAGAAATATTATTCAACAAACTAAATTTGCTTAAAAACACCAGTTACCTATTCCTTATCATTTTAACAACTCCATCTCTTTACTTAACCAATCTTCTGAGTTACACATTTCTCAACTTTCAAGTTCGCAACAACTCCTTGCCTCTTGAATAACTGACACCAATTCAGAGTGAAAAAATCTTTTCCATGCTTGTAATATAAAAAATATCAAAGAAATTAGACAACAAATTTCTAAGGCTATTAATATAAAATACTCTAAACTTCAAACTCATCCTACTTCTATGATTAATAATATTCTCAACTACTACAAAAATCTAGTTAAATTTAACAATATCTGTCTAGATAATAGCATTATTAATGATCCCCCAACTATCAAATCTCATATTTAACAACACTTCGATAACTGGACTGCTTTTTGATATATTAACTCTGAGATTTTCAATTTTTATTGGCAAACAGAATATAGCTTTAAACCTAACATCAACCTCACATAGTATTCTAATACTCTTTCCAACTTTACTGAGGCTAAAATTATACTAACTATTAATCAACTTTCTTATAATAAAGCTTGTAGCCCATCAGGTATTAGCTATAAAATAATAAAACATGCTGGCTCTAACTTCATCATTACTATAACTTCTTTCTTTAACTATTGCCTTCTTTTTCAAACTATATCTAAACAATAAAAAGAGGGATATATCTTTCCTATTTTCAAAAAACCTGTTTTTGACAAAAACCTATCTAATACCAGACCTATTAGCCTTATAAAATATATCAAAAAGCTATATACTAAACTTCTTACAAACCATCTCAATCTTACTTTCTCTTAATACAATATCCTCTCACCATTTAACTTCATTGCGCTTTCTAGCAACTTTACTTCTATATTTATCTATATTTTTAATAATGTAATAGAAGATGCAAACTGTAACTCAAACCAACTTTGGCTTCTCTCTCAGGACATGAGCAAAGCTTATGACTCAGTCAACTTTGAATTTTTCCAAAAATCTTTATACCAAATCCAAATGTCTTAACAGCTTATTAATATTCTAACTAATTTTTTATTCGATCATACCAATTGTGTTATCATTAACTTTGGTCTTACAAATTTTTATTTAGTTAAAAATGGTATCAACCAAGATGAAACTATTACTCCTTTATTTTGGAGAATCTATTATAACCCTCTTATTTCTAACATTTTTTTTACATTTTTCCAAATATACACTCTCTACTTCTTATCAAACTAGCTTTATTTATTCTTCCACAAACCATCTTAGCACTTCTATTTTAGTTCTTGCTTATATGGATGATATATTATGGATTGCCTAATCCAAAACACAACTTGAAGAAATTACTAAAACAGCTTCCTCCTTCTATTTTATAGCTGATATTCAACCTTAACCCTACCAAATCTATATTTATTACCAAGAAGCCTTCTTCTAACTTTTCATTTCTTAACTCCAACTTGCAATCTATTTTACTCTATCAACCTTTTAAATTTTTGGAATACTAGTTCACTCTTAACAACAAACAGTCTTCACAAATTAAACTAATTTAAAACAAAGCCATTCAGTTAGCCAATATCGCTGGCACTAAAAATATAACAGACAAACAAATTACTTATATCATTAATACTATTATTATTCCTACTACTGAATACCAGCTTCATAAGGTTGTAATTTCTCTTTATAAATGCAACCAAATCTTGGGCAAATATCTCACTATAGCCAAACATAAAGCACACCTTTCTCACTTCACTCCCAATAGCACATTTCTCAATTATAGTCTTTACAATATTTACAATATCTGAAATATACAATTACAACACCATATTAGTAACTTTCTTAATCAAATTAACAACTCTTCTACCCTTGGCACTACAACACATATTTAACTTCAACAACTTCAAAACAATCTTTGGTTCACAACTAATATCCTTCAACACCCTTACCTCATTTGACCAATTTGATTAGACTAGTTTGATTAATGAATTTTTGGTTAACCAGTAATTTGATCAACTCTGATTATACAAATTTATAACTAGTAAAAGTTAATAAAAATATAGTAATTTTTTTTTAAATAAAAGTTTTTTAAACTTTAAGTTAAAATATTTTAACAATTATTAAAAATTTAACTCACAGACAAAAATAATTTTTTTTTATTTAAATTTAGTAGTTATTAAGATATTTTAATATAAATTTTTTTAAAAAAAATATTAAAAATAAGAAGCTAATTAGGTATTATACTTTGTATATGCTTATATATTGCATTTTAAAAAATAGTCAATTAAATTTAAAGATCAAATAAATGTAATATATAAATTAAGTTTGTATAACAAAAACAAAGAAATTTTTAAAAATTCATTATATTTTAAAATTTTGTTTATAAAACTACTTTTTAAGCTTTAACAAAAAAATTTTCTTGTAAAATTTTGGTATATAAAAGCTTTACTCTAACCACTAACCTCTAATCTCTAACTCTAATTCTAATTAACTTTAATCAAGTAAATTTTTGTATATATATAAATGTATTATATGGATCTACAAATTATAATTTAATCATTATATCTATAACTCTTTCTGACGATCACTTGGACCAAATTTTCTGACAAAAAGAAAAGCCTTTTTCGATACTGGAGAGTAGTAACCTGTAGTGAGG